ATAGCAATAACTAATAAAGCACTGCATGCATGCGAGTGACTTATTTAATTATTGGCTAGGTATGAATACATTTTACAAGTGTCTGAATATCCCAATACGGGTATTCAGACATTTTTCAGAACGTATTTATTGCGGAGTGATACCTATTCACTAAATTCTATGCTTTATCTTGTATTTAGGTCATTTCATAAAAACTGCGGTGTCTTCACGCTCCTTTTAAAATTTTTTTAATTAAATGTTCAGAATTTTTAATTTTTTTTTTCTAAGTTGTATAATGTGTTGTCAAACTAGTTGAAACCTTTTGAGCATAAGTATTCAATTATTTATCAAAAACCTATGTTAATGAAAGTGAATTTTTTAAGTTATTTTACATGAGCGTTATGGTAATAACCGACTTGTCATTACCATACCAGTAGTGTTTTTGCGATTGTAAAGCCCCAAGGTGAAGTTTTACAACGAAATTTTGTTTCTCACATCTTCGCCCTATACTCCATCGTACACTTTACTCATTTCATCGATGATTTGAAGTCTCTCCGAAATTAAGGGTGTTACGGTAATAACCAATTATTCAACCAGAAAAACTCTCTGTATTCGCTACGATACAAAGAATATCCAAATGAAAATTTAGGACTGCAAAATAAGTAACAGTATTGTTGTACACTCCAAAATACAAAATGGTTCATTCTCAGAGTCTAAAAATTAATAACTTAGACAAATAAATGATATTTTCAAATGCTTCGCGTCACGGTAATGACATTTTGGACTGTTATTTCAACCTTACGGTTACGTAAAAAGTTGTTCTGATTAGATGTCAAAAATGCATTTAGGGAAAAAAGTTTACACCATTTAAAAAAAGTTCTGACTTGAAATCATCCTATCCGTTGTTTTTAAATACAGACTACATGGAATATCGTATTTTTTGTAAAATGACCTATTAAAGAGTCTTACTTGACCAGCGGTCACGTCAACACCGACACATGCTTGGAAATTTACGACACATACATTTTTGTGACAGCAGTGTAACACCAGCACACTTTATATATGCACACAGAAGTAGACCGATGGTTATGTTATCATATTAAACACGTTTACGTAAACTATAACTTTACTGTCATTTTTTCAATAATCCCTCTACTTCCAAAAATACAGTCGCAAAACTTCTTACATTTGTGAAACTATAAAAGACCTTGAGTCTCACGCAGCTCACAGCTCTCTTAAAATATGCTCGCAGCAGCATCAATATAAAGGCTCATTGCTATACAATTATATGTTTCTACTGCGTATCAACATTTTTGGCAGCCTATACTCCATGCGATGTGGGTGCCCTGCCCACTCAGAGTAGAAGAGAAGTAATACTATGGCTATGAGTGCACTGCTACATGTATTTTTTGTGGCACCATCTACCCACTTTTTTTCAGTAGCAGCAATGTGCAGTGAGATTAAACCAAGACCAACGAGCCAAGCGCAAGTGCATAGTGCTGCCCCATTTTCTGCACCAGCTTCCTATCCAGAATTTGAACTTTGCGTCAGCTGTTGTTGAACATTTTGTAAGCAGTTTTACATGAAAGAAATATCTGGGCTCATCGCTTGATACTGCACTAAATGCATGATCTATATGAATACCCATTGTAAGATCATATGTTAATTGTAACCATGACTCAGTTGAAATCCTTTTACAGCAACATTACACTTCCCGGTCACGTGCATCACCTACTACCACAAACATAAGTAATATGGTAACACACGTCTTCATAATACTATGCTACAAAGTAATAGAAATTCTTTCTAGTAATAAGTTTTATAATAACAATGCTTTTATTTTCAATAATTTACCATTTTTCTCTAATATAAAGAAACTTGAGCCCATAGTGGAAAAAAATTTAAAGTTTTGGTGGTTGGAACAATTATTTCTACACTGTAGGATTAACATGTATTTATAATGTGCCACAGTTTACTTGGAGCTATTACAGAAACTCATTCTTACAATTACTTTCAACTTGTAACATACCTAAGCAAGCAAAATATAACGTAGTCTCAAAGTACTAGTCGAAGGGTATGAACACAAAATGAAAAACAAAATGAGAAATAGACGACTTACATAGATTATTAATAGGATTTTTAAGTCTAGTAAAGCCATCGAGCTTAGCCACAGACCATCGTTACACGGGATACAATTTATGGACCCATTGACTACTATCAACCTTGTTAAGAGGGCGTAAGTACTTTTGAAAATAATGAAATGGTACATTACATCACTAGGGAGCACAAAGCCTTCTTGGGCTTTAAGGCAGAAAAGTAATTTGGGCCCAGAGGGTGTAAAAATTTTTTTGCTCGTGGTCTCAAAGTGACTACAAGGGCGCAAAGTGTGTCCCGAGGGATCAAAGTGAAAGTGGCATATTTTTCTCATGGTAACAAAAATCCTAAAATGGAATGATTTAAATTTAAAAAATTCACGTTTGAAATGTATGCAGTGTAAAAAAAAAAAAAACTGTTGAAAAGTTAAAAAAATATTATGATACTAAAAAATACCATGGGTTTGTTAAACAATTAAACAGTTGTTGGCCATAGGAGGATTAATTTGTACGTTTCTTACCATGGGCACAAAGTGTACCTACTACTTTGCTCCCTCGGGCTATACTTTGCGCCCTTGTGATACTTTGGGTCCATGGACAGAAAAGTTTTTTGTGCCCTCTAGGCCCAAAATACTTTTCTGTCTGAGGGCTCAAGGTGACTTACTAGGTGCAAAATATATCCATGGGCCTTTAAGTACACTCAGTACGAAAAATATTCGTGACTTGGGCATCAACATACTACAACCATGCCCTTTGGGCGTTCAACTACTTTGTGCACTTGTAACGTATTGTACTGGTCTTACACAGCATTACAGTTTGAGATCTTCAAAAGGGTTTTGTCAAGTTTTAGACCGGAATTTCGTAAAGGAATTTTATGTTTAAGGTGTTAGAGTCTTGACTCCCTATTTTGATGAATGCATTTTCTTGCTATTTGTATATGCTTGTAAGGCTTGGCTTAATGCTATATGTTTCCGATAAAACTATGTTTAATTCTAAGAAATAAGGTTCACTTAAAGAATGTTAATAACTACATTAAAAAAGTACATGCATGTGCACACGTATTTTAAAGTTTTACTTTTGATTTTAAAAATTACAGCCATACAGGATAATATTTCTGCTTTCGACTAAGTGGCTTAACAGTTTGATTGTTTACTGAAAATAACTTTCTATATGTAAAACCATTTTATACGAGGTTAAGATTTCCGCTTAGGCAGTGAAAATTTTCAAAGCGTAACGCTTTTTCTATCACGCCTATATAGATAAACTAATACCGTTCTCTCTTTCTCTCTCTCTCTCTCTCTCTCTCTCTTTCTACTGAGGAGCACTGAGTCTACGCTGCTGCCAGCCAAAATATCACAATACATAGATATACTATATCATATTCGTCTACAACCAGTTAAGTATGCATGCACACTCGCACATACACATGCTGTGCACGGCTGCTGGCCAATAAGTGGCCAGAGATGCATGCTTACGCTGCTGCCATCAAAAATATTGGTCTGTCTAATTCAGAAATCAGAGTTGAGCCGAGTGGTCTACAAGCCCTAGGGAGAGACTAAAAGGTATGACAGTTGCCGTACATCCGTGCATGTGTATCGTTTGCATCGTTTACAATTAACGCGTATAACGTACTTATGTAACATTACTTTTCAAGCACGATTTTATGTATAGTTAACCAAATGCTAACATTAATAAAATCATTCGACTTTTGGGGCTTAATTTTTAACCATAATTAGATATTGGTTTTACTGTATTGCAAAAAAATTACAACTCTTTGCCTATGATTATTTCAGGCCACTTGAATAATACTTTTATTAATGAGAAGTAGCCCTTAAGTGTCTTTCTTTACGATTTTTTACATTTACCTATTAATAATAATCGACATAAATCTACTACTATAGGTGGTACGATTATAGGCAGTACTTTTTTGAGATTTTTTAATAAAATTGCATCTACAACACTTATTTCTTACTATAGCTACCACAACTCAATTGTTACACAGAGAGATGAACCATACTCTTAGCAATTAATTATCATCTAAATATTTATTAGTTTGATTTTTTCGCTACTTCTTCTACTTATTGATAAAAAATATGATATGTAATTTCACATTTTTCATTAACTGAGGACACAACTACTATTTGTAAGATCGACTTTTTAAAAATTTCAAGAAATTAAATTTCTTCGTGTTCCATGTCTCATATCGGAATAAAAAATAGTGGCACATATCCATATCCATGTTTTCACATCTTTCTAGGATCAAATGCGACATTACGACTGGCTTCTTCATTAGAAGATAATCTGTTATTTCTTCCACGAGTTAGTAAATTTTATTTGGCTATACTCTTGTTTGTATACCTTTCTTAGGACTATTAATATCTAAGAAGAAATAGTTCTTCATAATTTATTTTTTAAACAGATGTTTTAAGTAATTTTTTTAGACGTATACGATGGATGCTGTCAAATATACTGAAACAGTATTCGGATGAAGAATTATAGAGGCAACACTTCACTTAAGATAAGTTCCTAATACTATCATTAGCTTACAATAATACAAACCATTAGTTTTACAAATATGAACTTGACCGCCTTTTGTTAAGTTCTATTTTCTACTTTTTCAAGTTAGCTCTTACATTGTATGAGTTCGGTCATCTATATCTAAAGTATTTGGTTACTTATAACTTAATGAGTCTGGTAGTAAATGTGCAATCTTATTATCGACTTATATTAAAAATCATGTCAAATTTTCGTAGTATAGAACATAAAAGACTTTATTAATAATATTCTTTCCATTATTAATATTGAAGGGTAGATTTTGATAACAAACTATCAATACTTATTTAATAGTCTGGTTTGTATGTATGAGCCGTGCAAAACTAAGTTTTCTTTAATGTGTAACAGGCTACAAAGAATTTTATTTTGTTCCAGACTTATCAAAACTCTTCAGGACTGGTGACTACGGTGTAATAAAAGAAAATTTAGTATTTTACATGGGCCGTCGTGATAGTCAAATCAAAATAAGAGGTCATAAAGTAGATCTATCAGAAATAGACAAAGCTGCTCTAAGTATACCTTTAGTGAAGGATGCTGTTTCACTAACATACCTGACTGAGAATTTTGAAAAGGTATTTAGTAATTTTAAATTTGACAAAAATAAAATTGTGCTGATAAACAAACGTCTTTCAGAGATATATTATTTTGTAAATTTTTTCAATTATCTAGGCTCTAATATTTCTAGTGAAATCGTTTTGTTAAATATATGCTGCTCGTTATTTATACAGAAAATTTTTTTTAAGACCTTTTTGTTCATGAGCTTCTTTTGTTTATGTACATATAGTTTGATGTATCAATGAAAGCCGAATAAGTATTACAATCTTTTTTAATAAATACGAAAAGGTGCTCTTGAAAAGGCCTCAGGTGGCTGAGAAAAATAGTAATTAAAACTAATTATTTATTCAAAATTTTTTTGGTCTTAATCCTCTTACTGTTCACATTTTACTATAAGGGTTTTAATACAACTACTTCTTTAAAACGAGACGCAACACTTATAATTGAAGACTCTCATTTATAATTATTACAATTTATTTTAATGGTGGTGAGCGTGCAGAGCATATCTTCATTACTTCCAACGGAAGGTAGTGTAAGAAATAATAACCGAATGTAAAGTATACTTTAAACTTGGAAATTTAAGCCAACTGCAATTCAAATTTTCTAAAAACACTATGATCTCTAACTATAATAAAATTAAAGTTAGATGCAGTTTAATAATAAATAATTATAGAATAAATTTGGATTTGATATAATAAATAATTATATCCATGAAGATGTACTTTACTGCCTTTTATATTCATGTACGACATACACTATGGCAGCCATGACGTAAGTATGTTTAAACATAGTTTAACGTTATTGCAGCCAAATACTGCTTTTAAAAGAAAGTGAGGTGTGTTCACCAAATAGACTCATTTTTAATATCCACAAACTTGTACAGGATAGACTGCTTATTATTTTAGCAAAGGCCACTGGCACTAACACTCCTTAAAAAAAAAAAAATAAGGCAAATGGCCAGTCCGTCCTTTTATTTTAAGCCGTTGCAGAGAAGAGGTATTGAAAAGATTTATTTTTACTTTGTGTAAATGGTAAGTGGGGATAACAGCTACCGATCGAAGAGCTGATAGTGAGTGGAAAGTGCATCATCTTAGAACTTTTGCCAGCAAAATTCAAGGTTGACCACACAATTATTGTGTTTGATCATGTTTAGGCTATGAAATGTAGATGTTATTCAATTTATTATACGAATGTCATATTATTTGCAATTACTTAATTAAAAATAAGTCAAAGTCTATAGTTTAATAGACCCCACTATCACTGCCTACGGTAGGTTAACTTGTCCAAAAGTTCTGAAAAAACGAAAATACCAGTCTTATCTCTCACGGAAAGTGACAAACCTCGTGATTCGTAGGGATCCAGAGTACTTTACTTATACTTTACTTTCATAAAAAGTCTGTTTACACATAGAAACCACTACTAGCAGTGAATTTTTAAGTGAAAAGGATAATAGCTTTATAATCATATGAGTATATCTACAATACATTAAAACTATGCAGTGAAATTCAATTTTTTTTTTTTTGACAACGAACTAGTTGTTTTAACATTTTATAACCTTTAAAATAAAAGGTCATAATCTCATACAGTTTTTAAACTGTACTTCTATAGGCACGTTATGCACAGGAGTACCTTCATCTCACTACCCTTGCCATACTGCCTTGCGCCTTTTTCCCACCACACCACACCGCGTAGTAGTCTACCATACCACAGCACACATGTGAAATTTTATTGGATTTTTTTTCTTTAACTTATTAAATAAGAAAAATAATAGGAAAAAACACCTTACAACAAAGTTCTAACCTCCAACATCCTGCACTGAAACTGAGTTTCTGATCTACTCTCCTATAAGCAGTCCCAATATGAGAACTTGACCTTTTTTTGTTATGATATAGTGTGTTACTTATTTTAAACGTAAATATTCACTTACTCGTTATTTGATAATTCCATTTAATTTTAAATAGCATTGCTCTATAAGTTGTTCATCTATACAAACTTATTCTTTTTGTTTAATGATTTTTTTTTATTTTACAAATTAGTATATTCTAGCCACGCACATTTCCTTTGTACCGATGAATATTTATTTATCCATCATTAACTTGCTACTATTGCAATACATAAGTGATTGCTAATATAATTTTATCATCTTTTTTTAATTACCTGACAAATAGAGGCCAAATAGTTGTTAGATTAGGAAAATGAGGCACGTGTATCTAAAAGGACTATAAACAATATTATTTCAGGATTACTGTTAAAAAAAATAGTTTTATCGTAAATTTAGCTGCAAGCCTTTTTTTTTAATGGCAGCTAAAGTTGGCTACAGATTTTCTTATTTTTCAGAAAGCAGCACTAAATGGTAAGCGTTCTTAGTGGCTCAGTGGTAGAGCACTCGTTTCTTACCTGGAGGGCTCAGGTTCTAGACCTCAGTCCATGACTTCCTCTTGGGCAACTTGATGGTGTTTTTTATATGATCTGATTACTACGATATTTTATATATAGGCAACTTGTATAATGCTTTTACCATGTCATGCAGACTTACTAATAAACGTAAAGAACGAGAATGCCTCAGAAAAGAAGGCAGGTGGGTAACTCCCTTATAGTATAATCACTTCATAAATTATCAATAATAAAAACAATAAAATATACATGAGAAATCACAGTCGTACGTGTATTCATGTATCCACAGCTATTAAACAAAGACGCAAAAAATGTGGCGTTGCTAAAGCAGCATACTTACTCTGCAGAAAATTTTAAATAAGCTTGAACTGAAAGTTTCAATGTCTTGAACACATCAACATGCTGTTATCTTAACCCTAAATTTTATGTGCCTTATTCGTAAGCAACTTAATTTAAGTATCAGTGTAAATGTAATTTTTTAAATAATAAATTAATTATCACAAATTAATTGTATAATTTCCTAGCAACATTGGTAAATAATTATTCATACCATTTCTACAGTTTTCGTAGATGGAGTCACTGTAGGCTTAGATATTTATAATAAATGTAAAGTATGGATATTAAAAAATAAATATTTTGCAGAACACATAAAATTTCCACATTACTAATAAGATCCTTGTAAGTTTCTAGTTAATAAACCAAATTTATTTAAAAAATAGCTATTTTATTAGAAGAAGAAGTATAATTGCCGAACTTAACTGTTTCTCGAAATTAATCAAACCCACATTTAGCGACATACTTTGGTACTCAAGAAAAACGATAAAATGACAGACAATTGAAACATAACTTTATTGTTCTTTTTATAAACCCAGTGTTATGATTTAAGGACGCAATAAGGAGATTTTATGATTTTCATACTGTTAAATAAAACAGCTACTTACAACAAAAAGAGCAACGCAGCTGTAGTGGTATCAACACAATTTGATCAATAAAGCCGAATAAGTATTACAATCTTTTTTAATAAATACGAAAAGGTGCTCTTGAAAAGGCCTCAGGTGGCTGAGAAAAATAGTAATTAAAACTAATTATTTATTCAAAATTTTTTTGGTCTTAATCCTCTTACTGTTCACATTTTACTATAAGGGTTTTAATACAACTACTTCTTTAAAACGAGACGCAACACTTATAATTGAAGACTCTCATTTATAATTATTACAATTTATTTTAATGGTGGTGAGCGTGCAGAGCATATCTTCATTACTTCCAACGGAAGGTAGTGTAAGAAATAATAACCGAATGTAAAGTATACTTTAAACTTGGAAATTTAAGCCAACTGCAATTCAAATTTTCTAAAAACACTATGATCTCTAACTATAATAAAATTAAAGTTAGATGCAGTTTAATAATAAATAATTATAGAATAAATTTGGATTTGATATAATAAATAATTATATCCATGAAGATGTACTTTACTGCCTTTTATATTCATGTACGACATACACTATGGCAGCCATGACGTAAGTATGTTTAAACATAGTTTAACGTTATTGCAGCCAAATACTGCTTTTAAAAGAAAGTGAGGTGTGTTCACCAAATAGACTCATTTTTAATATCCACAAACTTGTACAGGATAGACTGCTTATTATTTTAGCAAAGGCCACTGGCACTAACACTCCTTAAAAAAAAAAAAATAAGGCAAATGGCCAGTCCGTCCTTTTATTTTAAGCCGTTGCAGAGAAGAGGTATTGAAAAGATTTATTTTTACTTTGTGTAAATGGTAAGTGGGGATAACAGCTACCGATCGAAGAGCTGATAGTGAGTGGAAAGTGCATCATCTTAGAACTTTTGCCAGCAAAATTCAAGGTTGACCACACAATTATTGTGTTTGATCATGTTTAGGCTATGAAATGTAGATGTTATTCAATTTATTATACGAATGTCATATTATTTGCAATTACTTAATTAAAAATAAGTCAAAGTCTATAGTTTAATAGACCCCACTATCACTGCCTACGGTAGGTTAACTTGTCCAAAAGTTCTGAAAAAACGAAAATACCAGTCTTATCTCTCACGGAAAGTGACAAACCTCGTGATTCGTAGGGATCCAGAGTACTTTACTTATACTTTACTTTCATAAAAAGTCTGTTTACACATAGAAACCACTACTAGCAGTGAATTTTTAAGTGAAAAGGATAATAGCTTTATAATCATATGAGTATATCTACAATACATTAAAACTATGCAGTGAAATTCAATTTTTTTTTTTTTGACAACGAACTAGTTGTTTTAACATTTTATAACCTTTAAAATAAAAGGTCATAATCTCATACAGTTTTTAAACTGTACTTCTATAGGCACGTTATGCACAGGAGTACCTTCATCTCACTACCCTTGCCATACTGCCTTGCGCCTTTTTCCCACCACACCACACCGCGTAGTAGTCTACCATACCACAGCACACATGTGAAATTTTATTGGATTTTTTTTCTTTAACTTATTAAATAAGAAAAATAATAGGAAAAAACACCTTACAACAAAGTTCTAACCTCCAACATCCTGCACTGAAACTGAGTTTCTGATCTACTCTCCTATAAGCAGTCCCAATATGAGAACTTGACCTTTT